GAATCGGATTGTGTGGTACTCACAGACCGTGCAAGTGATGTGGGCGTCACTTTCCATTGAGCGATCCCAGTCATCAGACAATTTGAGAAGTGTCCAAAACCATTCCCTAATCTACACGTCAAAAACCTATACCATAATTTGATGCCTGAGTCATGGTCTGTCAAGCCGTATGACAAGGTTCAGCCTTGATAATAGCCGCTTGGTCCAGCTACCAGCAGATATATTCTAGGACCGGGAGTAGGAACTCGACTTGACTAGCCACCAACCTGAATCGGGTACGCCCTTCGATTACTCGGCTGAATGAGAACATTCACACCAGCTCTAGTAAGCCTTTTCACATGTGTCGGTGCTAGAGGAGCTCTTCTTTCCCAAGCATTAATCGTCTCTCTCCGAATTCCCAGCGTCGGCTTTCCTCTACCAACATACGTCTGACAGAACCGTAACGATATTCGGCTACATGATGCTATTTGGTGTAGGAGCATCTGAAATATGATGGCATTTATAGCATAGTTCTGTTTCACCTCATGATAAGAATACGTCTCATATACATTGTTTGGGCTCCATGTAGCATATTCAAAAAAGGATTACGGCAGGCCAATGCGCGTGGAAAATGGGCTGAGGCTTAAGCTCGTCCTCTTGAGTAACATTAGGTGATTGATCAGATAAGGATTATTGCGCTTTTGAATGAATGTAAATGTGGTGACTGATCCATCTTCAACGAAACAAATGATTTAATGAAAAAATACTGCTTAGAATTCAGAATCACACTGATCATGTAGGCGGGGTTTGCGCCGCCTCTGCACGAATCTCACTGATTAACTCTGTGGATGGATTTGCTCCTCCTCCAGATGATGGGGGACAAAAAATCCCTTCAAATTTATTTGTTTTTAAAGACATCGTCATTTTCAGTGCATGCTTACTTTGATATACACCCATACACTAAATGCATACATAGATGCAGGCCCTTTATCAGGACAATCCCAGTTGGAAGACAGAGAAAATTTAAAGGGATTTTCGTCCCCCAACCTCTCGGGGGAGGATTGAATCCGGCCCCTGTTGATGTGGTAAAATACAGTGTAATTGATGAGACTCTGGAACGTGGTCATAGGGGCCTTGGTAGGAGCGGGGCGCAAAGCCGACCTTACGGGAGTCCTCATGGTCGCAATCAGAAGTGAGCAACTGCACCACCGTCATAATAAACCATCAACAAAGTGAACTAAGAAGTGGGGGGGGGTCTTTCAAGACAAACCGACAAAGCGCAGACACGCTTTTTATAGGTTTCTTGCGTACTGTAGAGACGCATGTATGGACCACAAATTATGCTTTGTTTGTGCTAAACAGATCTAATAGTCTAAAAAAGTAGTGCAAGGTACCGTAAATGATTCAATTCCCGCTGGCGTCAAAAATTTTTATTCATTATTGGCGGTTAATGTTGGCCTCAACATGGTCCTGACTATGAATATGACATCTGACTTCAACTTTAGCGCCATTTTAAACCAATGCGTAGGCAAGGAAATATGGTTTTGTGATCCATGCATGCATCCCTATAGTGTGCAAGAAACGTTTTGAAGAAGCGAGCTTCGCCGTGAAAGAGGTGAAGTGGTACTACGTGGGGTACCGCAACTGCAGGAAAAGCGTGAGGTGTGGGTTCGATTCCTGCCTGGGGGAAGAGTTTTCTCCATTCTGATCACATGGGTGGAGAAAGGTAAGCCTTTGATGATGTCAGACTGAACCCATCACAAGGAACGTCTTCTAGGTCGTGCCCTACTGTTTGACAATGTTTTTGGGAATGAAGAGGCACGCGCACGAGACATGAAACTATGTACGAAATATTGGTCCATGGTACGATTTCCCATTGTGACCATTGCATTTTCGATTAGCGCTTTTTACGATGTCTCAAGTGGTTTCAGTGGCTAGTTGGATGCGTTATTAGCACATGGATCACCAAAGGCTCATACGAGTAAGGTTTTACAATGTGTGGTGTCAAAAAAGTGAATAGGTAAGATTTTTGAAACCTTTTTAGCATTTAGAGGACCGCTCAGAAAAAAATGAAGCGCACTTCAGGGTTCTATGTATATGCCTCTAGGTCATGCAATGACTTCCTGGTCAGCGCGGCTAAAGTTGGAACTGCCTTTCACGCCGTTTCGCCCATGATATTTGATGAAGTCATCAAAACACCACTTTACAGTCATGGCGACCACTGCCTTTAGGTCAGCATTCTTATGATATTGATAACATTTTTCATTATCAAAGGCATTTCTAGCTGTTACACCAAATATGACCAAACCATTCTGGGATTAATCATTTCAAGGAGTTTCGAGATAAGAAGCGATTCATCATTCTTAAGGTATGATTCTAAGAGATATGAATCACGCAAGGAATATTCAATTTATGATGTGAACAAAGCAAATGTCATTCCTGCAACGATGCGCAAAGACTCTAAGCAGGAAGCAGTAGTTTGGTGTATTTATCGTGGAGCAGATCTGGAACAGAAGAGTGATAAAGAAAGACAATAGTAAGAAAGACAAGACATTTCCAAGGTGAGCCTATGCCACAGAAGTGCTGTAAACTTACCACCTAATTCTCGAAAAATGTAGTTCATAAAAAACCTATCACTTTCCAAGCTTCTTTGTGAAAAGGTCGAAAGCACTACTACCACAACATACGAGTGAACGGGACGGAAGATAATGCCTCAGAACAGCCACGATTTGAACAAGATCGTGAGAAGGGTGAAGGGAGGGGGTCATCATAAAGGCTGACGGTCACGTCAGGCCCATTTCAAGAATTTCCGTTCACTCTTGAAGGGAGTCTCTTCTCTCTTTTCGTAAGAATTTTCAGAGAAATTTCAAAATCTCAACACGAGTTCTTTAGATTTCAATACCGCGCAACCTTCCGAATCTCCAGCTACGACCGCCACACCAAAATCACGATGACGACACCCACTCAGAAATCGGAAATTGCCTTCCCCTTCTCGACGGGATCGTCAAACACAGGGTCGACCGTGATTTTCTAAGTATAAAAATCTGTAGCAGGAAGTCCACGTGGTTTAACTCGTCTCTAGAAGCAACAAGCTACCTGGCTGGGTGACGTCTACGTTCAATAACAGCAAGAAGAACAACTGTAGGAAAACTCGCGGCTATGTCACCCCAAAATCCGCACTTTGGAGAGGAAACTCTGTTTACTAAGTAAAGTGCATCTCGAAAAACATATGCCGTTCACGTACGACGTGATGAAGGTCTTTTCCGCTGTTTTTTACAGACGGAAAAGAACGTCATAGGCATTATTAATGTGCTAGGTTATCATGCACGAGAAGTGGATCCGAAACATCAACTGATAAGCATGCAAACAACTGTAAAATATTTTTGATGATAGGATTGGGCGCAGTGTGCGCTGATAGCGTTCACCTTTTGATCACTATGAAGACCTGCTTAGGCTTAGGCTTTTGTGGCTTTTTTTTTATTCTATAAGTGGTCATTCAGAGGCACATTCCTCAATAAGCTAGGTAAGAGTTACGGCGCCCAAACATGAGAGTGGAGGGCTACTCAGTCCACCAGCAATGAGGCAATCCGAAGAAATCTGCAAAAATCCGGAAGCAACATTTATTTTTATCTGTTCTTCCTCAGTATTGTATTCGATTAATCCTGCGTTGGGAAACAACGTGAAAAAAGTGGTTACTTATATTTTTGCATATGATAGTTTTTGTAGATATCATCTCGAATTCAGTTAATTTCTCGTACGACGTGTCACTCGTCATAACGTCAAATGGTTCTTATTATATCTCAGTAAACTGCAAGCCAAACTTTCTATGTAAAAGCTTGAAGTTTTGCAGCCAAGTGAGGGGGTGGGGTGGAGCTCTCATTAGAGGTGGAACTGCGAGATGAGCTGAGATTGCTGACCTTCGGCCCAATAAAAGCACTGTAGTTTTTGCGTAATCATGCTGCATTTGGCCAAATCTCCAACGTGAACAACTTATTTGTATCTCAGAATGGAAGCCCTTGAGATAAAACGCTTATCACCCGAAATAAACAGCAAGGAAGAGCTACGTGACATCCTTCAAATTGTCACATAATATCATGCATTCCAATCGCTGCATGCCCTTCCTAATATTTAAGGGTGCGAGTAGGGTAGGTTATCCTTATTTCTCGTTGGGTAAGTTTGAAGGTTACGGAGGCAGACACGTGTGAGTTGGTCCAATATATCTTGTATATTGTCCGGCTTCACTAAGAAAAGCTATTTCAGGCCTGACGAAGGCACCGAAATATCGCAATAATTTTGGAAGCTTTTGAGATTGAGTTCTTTTGAAGCTTTTGAAATAAACTTTTTGGAGCCTCGAATTGTTGTTCAACATTTAGAAACTTATTTGTAGTTTCACTGCAAAAAAGAGCCATCACATGAGGTCACTTCAAGTTACTTCTACACAACCATTCACCTTCACAATTACACTGATCGCGGAAGTTCTTGGTCTGAACATTATTTGATTCGGCACGGCACGGGGATTCTTAGCCACTGCGCTAGTTCGACCTTTCACAATGCTCTCGATGTTTACCCGATTCTAGCGCTTCTTTATGTCGCTCGCATGATCTCTACAGTGCGTACCAAAAGTATGTGGACACCCTAGAATCGATTCTCAGGAGTCAGCTAAAGGCTTTTTGTGTTATGAAACCTTCACCATTCAACTCCTAGTGGTCGATAACCTACAATGACATTTCGGCAAAAGATTTCGTTCTAACTTAGCGAACTATTTTTCATGGAAAGTTTTTTCTTTGTATCAAAATTATGTGGACACCCTGAGGCAGATGAAGTTTTTGCATCGATTTCCTAACCTATTTTTACTTCTCCTTTCGTTACTTATTCTGGCATCATTCCTCTTCACGGCAAGCGTTTTTCTGAAGAAGACCGAGCACAGAAATGGGATCCCCATGCTTCTGAACCTTCCTATTGCGAAATAGCACGTCAACCAGTCATGCGTCCTCGTAGGTTTGGAGAGAAATCCGAAATCCTGATGCTAAGCTCTCGACCTTGACTGAGGGTTGTTCTCAATCGCTACTTGTTCAAAACAGGAGAAGAATAGCCTTAATTTTCTCAAATTATTCTTTTCGTACTACTCAACTTTACGCATAAATGATCTTCCCGATCTTAAAAAAGACCAATCGGTGTCTCATTCAATCAATTGAGCACACGACACGAAAGAAGATGAAGAAGGCTTTGTATATGAATGCGGGTTCAGGTTGGCAAGGTTGGAATTCCCACTCAAAAAAGGATCACAACATGATACTTTGAACCCACACAGACAGTGCTTTCGTGGAAATG